CACACACACACACACACACACACACACACACACACCCCTCAAGAAGCCTTTATCACCAGAGAGGGACAGGCCTTAAAAAAGACCATCAGTCATGCAAATCAGAGAGGTTTCTATAAGCTCTTTCTGCTCCATGATTCAAACTGGCTGCAGACAGGAAGCAGGGATTGTTGGTGAAGGGAGGTGCTGGTGCAGAGCAGGTTAACTAGGAGCTGTCTGGGCCTGATGGTGTCAGGGTTGAAGAGAAGCAGGAGCTACACATGTAGGTGACACTCAGTGTTGCCAAACATATGATAATTATTGTATTCATATGATAGACTAAGGGTATATGCAATAAATGGATTTTAAAGAGCCCAAATTTATGTTTTGGCATTTCCATGCAGCATAAAACTTGGTATTTACCAATCACAACACATATCTCATCATAAAATGAACAGGGTCACATATAGACAAACAGCCACTCAACACTTTCAACCAGGGACAATTCAGAGTTACCAGTTAACCTGGCATGTATTTTGGTTTGTTGAAGGAAGAAAACCCACACCTGCATGGGGAGAACATGTAAACGCTCAGACAGGCTCCAAGTTGCAAGGCAGTCCTTCAACCCTCAGGCTGAGTGGTGACAGCTCTAACCACTGCCCCACCATGCCGCCCCAGAAAACTATTAATGCTGCCTTAAAAAGCAAATGTGTCAATTGTCTCTTTATTTTTAACATGGGGTCACGTATTCTTTTTGCAACAGTATTGACAATAATGATAATTCTAGGGCAACAGTTCCCATATCATCCCCTGAGGGTGTTTCTAAAACAGGTTAATGAGAATTGGATATCAATGCAAAGTCCAACAATTTGTTTCACTTTAATTTCTCTTTCATTGGGCCTCCTTTGCTAATTGGACACCTTGCTGTAAAACTTTATGCATAATTTAACCCTTGGAAGGTCTTTGAAGGGAAAAAATAGCCACACATTCATTTTTTTGTGTTGACATATCCTAAAAAGCTTTCTAATTTTTTTAAAATGTCAGAATTGCATCATCTGCTCCTGTAAACTCAGTCACTTTACTACCTTTAGTGTTCCTTTGTGGGAAGATTGACTCATTGAAATCCATTATAAGTGCATTTTTTAAACCCAAATGTATCATATCATAAAATGATGCATTCCTTTCATTTTACCTCTATTTCTCTACTTTTAAGTTTCAGATAATGCCTTGTTCCTGCCATGCCATGCTCCTGTCTGACTTTACTTTTGGCAAATCTCATCCTTACAGCTATAAGTCATCATTTCTTTTCAGAAGTGGAGAGAAGAACTTTATCTTTTCACATTGGACCTGGTACCTTTGATTCCATTGTTCTCCCTCTGATTCTGTTGACATCCAGGGATTTTTTTTACTGACTCATCATCCATCATCCAACGAGACCATCTGAACTGTGCTCGTCAAAGTTTGAAAGTAAACAATCGACTCGTAATTGTTGGCAACGAAACCTTTGCTGATTTAACTTAATTACAAATAATGCGAGATACATTTCATAATGAATTTATAGTGGTTTTTTATAACAAATAAAACACAAACAAAAAATCTAATCAAATACACTGATTGTTTGTATATTTTACAACTAACAATAAATTTCAACTGAGCTAATCTTGTGATATGCAATAATGGTGTTTGACCAAACTTTGAAAATGACATTTATAGACAATATAAACAGATAAATCTCAGCTATTAACACACCAAGTTGTAGCCTTTTCTGTGTTTACAAATGTCAGCTGGCTGTGGCAGCCATTTTAAATTGGGTTTACTTCAAAAGTTAATTAGTGATAGATGTACATCAAATGGTAAGTTTCTGCAAGTTTCATTAACATTCCTTCATGTGAACATTTTTGTCTGTCTGTGCCTTATGATGGCAGGCAATAACTATTAAAAACTATTTGATAAAAACTATATCAACCAAAAGCATCAATGATTTTTTTAGATTTACTCAAACGAAATACGCAATGACTGATTGCCAAACATTATATACAGTAATTATTATTCCTGGCACTGCACACTTACAGTAATCACAATCTGACGGCAGCGTGGCCTTTGTAAATTATTTAGTTCTTGGTGTCTAATGCTTGAACCAGTGACTCAGAGTAAGGGAGGTGACAGAGCAACCCACTCTCATGGCAAAGCTCCGCCCGTCCTCCAATAAGAACCGAGAGATGCTGCCATGCTGACTGAGCCTTGGACACGAGCAAAGGTTGTAAAGCAATGCACCACATCCAGCGCGCTGCTGCAGAGAGAACCCATTGCTCAGCATTTTTTAATTATTAACAACTCTCAACCACACAGTCTTTCACTCTCGCTCTTTCAGGCATTAGTGCGAGCCTTATGTACCAAACAGCAGATTGGAGGTGGGGAGGTGAGGGGGGGGGACGGACGCACACACTCAGACAGACTGAGAGTCACTGTTTTGAGCAACAGAGTGGATGTTGTTAGACGTTTAAGTCTGCGACACTGACAAACCATCCACGTTTGCACGGGCACGGCAGCGCTGCTGACAGGGACCATCTGTAGAGCCATCTGCCAGGACCGTGTTCACCTCTGAAATGTGGGAGAGCACTAACGGTTAAAAGACACACCAACACATCCTGTGGGCAGGCACGGCTCCAGGTCCTACCTCGCTGGAGAGTAAACAGGAAAGACCAACCAGTGATCAATAAGGCGTCGTGCTGCTAAAGAAAAGGCTGCCTCTGTTCTGCATTTTCCCATTCTTAAATCGACACAGTACGCACAGGAATGGACACGTCCAACGATGTATAACATTAAAACAACTCCAAATGTACACATCAATCAGACGTCTTCATACACTTTCACAGACTACTTTTGTCTCAGCCTTTCTTTAGAACCACAGCCTGTCTATAAAAAGCTTCGGGGGCACGGAGCAGTGAATTAACTGCACTCTAGCAAGAGCCTGCAGCCAGTTTCATATTTGCAAGGCTGATGGTGATTCATCCCTGTATGCCCCAGAGGTAAGAGGAGGGACTTTGGAGAACTGGCAGCTGATGTATCGGTCAGTCGTGCTTTAATTTCTTCCCTTGATGGCATCTTATCGCTGAGGAACAAGTACCAGACAGAGGCCTTAAATCGGGGCCGTAAAGACAGGTCTGCAGCTACTAACTTGAAGTAACCTGCAGCTGGTCCGCAGAGATGCATCACTTGGTTTATGGCATGTAAAAACATTACAACAAATCTCCATCTAGCATTGCGATCTGCTTTGTTGTTGTTCTGCTGGCACAGTCGCTGATTCTTTTTGTTCTGCCGAAGGCAAACAAACAGATCTTGGCTGACAAACTGTTTTGGTCCGAAACAAGTCTTGCAAATAAACATCTTTGCAAATAATCTGGCTCGAAATCCGAGGTATGTTTGCAAGGTGTTAGAGGCTGGGGTTCATGGGTTTAGACCAATTCTGGTTTGGTTATTTAACTCTTAGCTCCCCAGGGAGAGAGAAGGGGTGATTTTGTTTAAAGGCCACTATAATCGCTTCTGTCTTTTTGCCAGCATGCAATGCCACTTAGGCAGATCTAAACCTCGGTTTCTGGAGAGGCTCATGGATCGATCCTGATGAAAATTTGAGGATGAAGCCACTCCCTTCCGAAGCTCGGCCACAAATGGCAGAACGGACGTTTATCTCCTTTGACGAATGTAGGACTAATAATTTTTAAAAAAAAAATGAAAAAGCGAGACGTAACATTTTGGGCTCAGAGCTCCAAACGTGGATCGTGAAGATCAAAGAAGAACACAGAGTCATGCACCTTTACTAGTGTGGCCATGGTAACGGGGAAATCAAAAGACGGCGCGCAGTGATTAAACGCTGTGTGTGTGCGTGTGTATGTGTGTGCATCATATCCATGTTCTACATTTCATAGTACCTACACTACACTACACTACACTGCACATTGCATGCTGCAGCGGATGTAGTATGATTAGGAAAGGAAGCCATGCTGAAAACATGGGATTGTAGGTACAGTCGCCTTGCATCCTTCAGCTTTAAATAATGCAGTTAGTGTGCGAAGCCATTGTTTTTTTTTTTTTTTGTTTTTTTACGTTTCCCCTCAAACATTCACATTTCCATAAAGCTCTCAGACATTCCTTTCCTCCTCTGCACAAAAAACCAGCGAAACAAACCAATAAGAACAAAAACAGAGGGGTAAAAGCACAAGGGTGTCGTCCAGTCACTACACTATGGTTGCTCATGTGAGGGGATGCAGCTGCAGAGAGCTCTCCCAGTGTTCATTCAGTCTTTTCCTCCCCTCCCCCCCAGTTTAATCTCACTCCTGCTTCAGGTCTGTGGTTTGGAGACGGTGGAACCGAGAGGCAGCTTCTTCTTCTCGTCTGTTTTGGTCTGCTCTGACCCGTCCGAGTGCGATGCTGTATGGGTGGACAAACATCACAACAAGTAAATGGGTGTGCATCACCTCCTGTCCAAGAGAGACACAGCTGGAGTTCTGACTTGCCCTGCCCACATCAAGTCTCTGATGCTTCACTGATTCTTTTTTTTATCCCCACCCACCCCCAACCCAACATTTGATTCAGACAAATAAATAAATAAATAAATAAACAAATAAATAAACAGAATCCTGCAGCAACGCCCTGAGACTGCAACAACACAATCTCAATAAATAAAACTGACAAGGTCTGCTTCCTGATATCAAACCTGCAAGAAGGAAGCAGTGGAGTGCTGCCAGACCCCGAACACTCCTGAGGAGCATCACCATGTTCCACCTCTTCTATTCATCATGAAGAAACTTGGACTACACGATCACGTCAGCATACAAATAGGTTCCCAATAAGCTGCCAGTGAGACGTGTTTCTCCTAAAAATAGCAATTCAGTCAAATGTTCATTTACATGACAGGCAGCAGCAGCTTCATGCACACACACTCACCAACCCTCCCTCTTTTCTTTTGCTTGTTGGCTCTAATCAAACAACAACCTGCTCATTAAGAGAATTCATTCCATCATGCTCCGTCTTCACAGATGATCCACAGTCCCTCTGCCTCAGTCCTCTGAATGAAAAGCTGCTTTCATTCAACTTGGGTACGAGACAGTTCACTGCGTCCAAGCTGGAGACCAAATAATACCTTCAAGGCAGCTTGACAGGGAGAAGATGCACTGTTTAGAAAGGCTTATGAAGGAGATCAGAGCCTACCTGGGAGTCCAGCCCTGCCTCCTTCTCTCCTCTCTCTCGGGGTGCTGTCAGGGAATGATGCAGACTAGTTTTCTGCGCGGAGCCCGGATTCTAGTGCCCCCACCCCCCACCCCCTAGTCATTCATTCAGTCACTGCGCATGGTCCCTGTCAGCACATAAAATCGCGCTGTGTTTGATTATATTTTCGGCTCGGAGGAGTTTCTGCGTGGCTGCAGGCTCTCAGCGGATCGCCGCGATGCGTGTGGGAAAACTGGTCTTTGATCCTGCGTGGAGAATGGTTGGAAAGCCCTTGGTTCCGTGGGAAGGAAACCCCTGGATCCGAAGTGATAACAGTGATGCTGAAGTGGGCAGTCAGCACCTGATCCAGTTTGGATGGGTCTAAATTTATCCCACCACTCTGGCGCAGGAGAGGTTTTATTA